CAAGGAATAATAAAATAAAAGTCTAAATTACGAACTACGAACTGTGCGCTACGAACTACGACAAAAACTACGTGCTACGAGTCTCAACCTGCACGAGATGAGCTATGCGGTACAAACTACGAGCTACGAGCTACGAACCTTGCGCTACAAACAACGAGCCACGCGCTTTGCACTACAGGTTACGCACTACGGGCTATTCACTACAAGCTACGCACTACAAGCTACACACTACAGCCTACACACTACAAGTTACGCACTGTAGGCTACGCACTAAGGGCTACGCACGATCAGCTATGCCCTACGGGCTACGCACTACGGCTACGCACTACGGGCTACGCACTACAAGCTACGCACTACAGACTACGTACTACGGGCTACGCACTACGGGCTACGCACTACAGGCTACGCACTACGGGCTACACACTACAGGTTACGCACTATAGGCTACGCACTACGGGCTACGCACTATGGCTACGCACTACGGGCTACACACTATAAGCTATCCTCTACGGGCTAGGTACTACTGGACTACGCACTACGGGCTACGCACTACGGGCTACACACTACGGGCTACACACTACAAGCTGCCCTCTACAGGCTAGGTACTACTGGGCTACGCACTACGGGCTACGCACCACGGCTACGCTCTACGGGCTACGTACTGCTGGGCTACGCACTATAAGCTACGCACTACAGGCTACGTACTATAGGCTACGCACTACAAGCTACGCTCTACGGGCTACGTACTGCGGGCTACGTACTACAAGCTACGCACTACAAGCTACACACTACAGGCTACACACTACAGGTTACGCACTATAGGCTACGCACTACGGGCTACGCACGATCAGCTATGCCCTACGGGCTACGCACTACGTCTACGCACTACGGGCTACGCAGTACAGGCTACGCACTACAAGCTACGCACTACGGGCTACGCACTATGGGCTACAATCAATGCACTGCAAATTTCGTGCTACGAGCAACCTCTATCTATAGTGTTTCAGGAATGGGTAACTAGGGTTATAAACTTGTCTCAACATGAAATCTAGTTACATTTTGTCAATGTTTTTAAAAATAAATAATTTTGTGAATATTTGGTTTTGTTTTAGAAATCTTTTACATGAAAATTGTATTGTAATAATTATGTTGCAGTTATAGTGATTAATTAGCTATTATATTATATATACATAATATTCAAAGTGTTTAGTAAATGTGATAAATTAATCGCTATATACAGATATTATACATAATCGCATGCCCAAGTTAACTAACGTAATAAATACGATGCAATTGACTTATTACCTCTCCCTCTCCCCTCCGTTTCCCCTCCCCCTCCCCCTCCCTCTCCCTCTCCCTGCTGCGACGTGATTCTAGCTGGTGAAATAGTGTTCGTTGTTGTTTTGGTACATATGCCGCAGTAAGATTGATACATTTGGTTAAGGTCATGACTTAGAAACGACAAATAGTGATTTCATTGTGCTTTCACAATTTATTTTGTAGCTTATCAAAACGTAGCAGGAAGTTCATGTATTAATTTAATTTCCGTGTTAAACTTTACCGTGTGTGAGAATTAAATAAAAAGCCACCTTAGAATAGATTCAATCTGGTTTTTATTATAATTATTTGGAAGACATCAATCAGTCATATGTATTCAGCTTAAGAATTTAATCTTAAATGTAACACGATCACATACTTTTTCCCTACATGATTCATTGTTTCATCTATTTTCATACTTAAGATATTTTCAGAAACCCTGCAAATTATTTTCGAACTGTATCTATGATTTATTGTGATTTAAAGAGATAAGACCACATCTATTACTTCCATTCGTGGTAGCTATTTGAGCATAATATAATGATTAGAGTACCTATTGCAATTGATGCTAACATGCACCAGGCAGTTAATCAGCCAAACTTAAAGAGAAATGAAATCTACTCCAGGTTAGGTCACCTAATTCTGTCAACAACGGCAAGACCTGTTAAATAAAGAAAATAAGTGAAAGTTAATAAATGCTCACAAGGTTAAAATTGAACAAAAAACTACGGCACGATGCCGTTATAGTACATAATAAATGCGATCCGATAACAATTCAACGGGAGAAACATATATAACTAAAATTCCGTTGAATTACAATAATCTTTAGGTTAAATAATCAACCTCAACGCGAACAAAGCCGCGGGAAATAGCTAAGATAAATAGCATACATAATACAATACACACATTTGGGTATTGTCTTATGTAGTTAAAATCGTATTGCAATGAATTCTTTATTTTCACAGTAGCATTGAAATATAATTTACAACGCTAAAGCTAAATTAAATGTAATATCTACCTATATTACATTTAATTTTGCTCTAGCGTTTACATACCTCTACCTAGGTATCTAATTCCTAAATACTTTATATAAGCTATTTAATTGAAATAAAATGTGAAATAAAGTTAATACGTTGACAGTAACAAAAAACTTATATAGAATAAAAATAACTTACGTGATACTTAGATATCTAATTATACTTTCAATGTATAACTAATCTCTGAATCTCACAATGAAATAAATATGAATTCTATTAGAATTCATAAAATTTAAATTTGTATATATACGATTTAAACGTAACTTACACAACAAAATTACTGAAATAACTTAATTTTACGGCAAAAAGACTAGTCATCTTACATCAGTTGCCTCAAAGTTTTCCTGAGTATTTCTAAAAAGAGTTCAGCGTGTTCCGGTCTGAAAATAAGTGCCGGTCGAAGGCGAATTGTACATATTCCACACGCACCCCCAAGCACACCTGTAAATAAAAAAAAAATAGAATATTCATTTCCTCTGTCATTCAGGAGGGTGATTACATTACACATCCCGTTATTGATAACATCAATTATTATTAGGTACCCTTAGAATGTTGTCACTATGTAATGACAAAAAGAGACAGTTGTATTGTTGCAAGCGTACCATCGTGAAGATAACATTAAATAAAAATTATTTTAAAATAACTTACCATTTTGTTTCAAAGTTTTGACAATATTATCCCTTAATTCCGGTGTGGCGGCGTCGAATGCCAAAAATGTGCCTCGACCACGTACGCTGTTTATCATGAAGCAAAATTCAGTTTCTAGACAGTGCAGACCACATTTAAGGACATTTCCGGTCTGTTCGACTAATTGTAGAAGATTTTGACTTTTAATGATTTTGATAACTTGTTCCAACATAATCAGCTTCGATGGATCTCCCATCCACGTGTTGAAAATTCTTAACGGTTGCGGTGGCCTGATAAAAGAATAATGTAGTTAAGAATACTAACACTTTACTTACGAATAAATGCAATTTCTTCTACTTATAGAAATAAAATTGAATAAGATTATTTTATTAGATTATTAGATTAGATTATTTTTAGATTATTTTATTTCACAAAAAGTGTAGCTAAAACTTACAGATATTCCGGCTTGAAATAAAATCCCCCAGTCAACATTTTCTTGCTGAATGTGACCAAGTCAGGTGGTGATGGCAAGTTGAAATGTTCGTGACACCACATTTTGCCTGTCGGTCCACATCCAGTCTGGACTTCATCCAAGATGAAAGCCGCTCCTCTCTGTAGCATTAACAAAAAGAAAAGTAGTTATTACTGACACATAACGATATAATGCACATATCGTTATGTATCGACGATTTGATAGACAAGGTACGTTCGATCAACGTACCTAGTCTACCTAATCTAAATAAAACCGTACCTAATCTAAATAAAAGCTTGTAGCAATAAACTAGAACAAACAAAGATAAAAAGTGTAAATTTGTAGCTACCAGTTAATGAGCAAAACTTACGCGTTTACATATTTTTTGCAATTCTTGGAAAAACTCTGGTGAAGCATGGATATCACCGCCTTCTGCCTGAATGGGTTCAATGATAACGCCAGCGATAGGTCTTTTCTTTTCCCACCTGTCAAATTGCTCTTCAACGTCTGCGAGACACCTAAAAATATTCCAAATTATTATTATAGTTACGAGGTAATTAATAAAACACAAAAATACGTAAATTGCCCCCGGTGGCTACCCTCCGCACCTGAAAGAGGTAGCGTGTTCTCTAATAAACCTCCTCCGGAGCCCCCACGGTATAACACCTGTCACGGAGTTATTAGGTACTGTTAGAGAGACGTGTGTCTCCCTTGAGTCTCTTTATGCACGACGGCGTGTGACCAGTGTGCCATCTTCTTCTCTGAGGCTACTGTATGGGCACCTAGAAACCTCACTCTATACATCCGTGACTCCAAAGGTCCGTGTGCGCGGTGTACGGTTAGCGCGTGTGTGAACCTGTCGGGGACACGCTCTTCTCTCGTCAGCCAGGCTTCGAAATGCGGTGAGATGGCTCCCACAACGCACTTACGTGAAATCTCTGGCTGTTCTAGCTGGTCACGCCACAGTTCGAGTGCGTTTCGCCTTTCTTGCTGCCTCAGCCAAACGAAAGCAACTCCTGGCACCAACCGCTATTTGGGCCGGCAGTACGGATTTCGTCGTAGACTTCGCGTCTATATCCTCCAAGATATCCAACGGCGGAAAGCGAGCCAAAGGACATGCCGCCTCATGGACAACGTTTGGTCCTCTCGTACAATACGGATTGCCGTTTTCCGCTGCAGACAATAGATTTTCGCTATGCAGCGTCAGACGCATGAAAGTTGAGTGGACCAAACAGCGGCGCCCCGTAAAGGACCATCCACCGCTCGACATCCGCATAGAGGCGGCGAACTTTTTCTCGAGGTCCCCCAATGTCAGGGAGAAGACAGACAGTGCAGGGCACTGCCCTGGCTTCCTTCTAAATCATATGGAATTGACGTAAATATTGACACATGTCAGTGTCGTCCCCATAAATTTAGTTTTCTACTCTCTTTGTAGACAAGCGCTAAAGTGGCATTTGGCTACAGGCACAGAATACTGAAAAATTCGCATTTTTTCCCGGATTATTTGCGATGTGATTTGCATATTCATTACAAGCATTTTCGATTATAAAACGGCTATGAACAACGATTATATAACATATCGATAGGTGCCCAAGATGAAATCAACTATGTGCGATTCGAAAGTGCGTATCACAATCATATGATTACACTTTTAAAAAACATGTCACATATTCCACGTGTTGTGTTAATTAATGATCGTCCTAAATGCTCATTGCGATGCGGTGTTCTGGCGCCAAATCTACTTATTTTATAGAAAAAGCTACCTGGACATAAATTGTGTCCGGGTGTCATCACTGCGAGGACCACCCTGAGGACACGGTGGAACACACTATAGCGGAATGCCCTGCGTGGGCTGAGCACCGCCATGCCCTCAGGGAAGTGATCGGCGATGGCGACCTCTCGCGTCCGGGCCTAGTGCGGGTCATGATGCGGAGCGAGGGGGACTGGGATCGACCGTCTCCTCCTTTTGCGAATATATATGCTAGCTAAGGAGGAAGCGGGACGCGTGAGGCAGCGAAGCGCTGCCTCCTCGCAACCCAGTCATCGCGAAGGACACACTGGGCGTCGGGGATCGCGAGACGATCTCCGGCCACCGTAAGCGCGGGCCTGCGGACGACGAGCATGGGTGGCTCCCCGTCCGACCAGAAACAGACCCGAGCGTACGGCGCGTCGCGTTCCGCACGCGCCTCAAAGAGCCATCAGACCACCACAGATGGAGCCCAACAGGGCCGTTGTCGATCGGAGTCGCCGAGAACCTAACGGGTAACCGGGGCTCCGGCTCGACGTGCAGGAGAAGGAACGGGGTGGTTTTTAGTCAGTAAGAGTCTGACACTCCCTCCCGCCTCACCCAGGCGGGGGCAGTCATTCGATGATTTTCCCCCCTTAAAAAAAGGCACTAATTGTAGAAAAATGTAAATATAGTTTAATTTTATATGCAACGTAAATCGAAAAAAACACTGCCAATTTCAACACTCCCGGAAAAACCTCCATGTTTCCGCCTTCACGATCGAACTTGAAACCTTCTTGAAACTATTTGTCACTCTTATTACAAAGTGTACCCCAAAAATAAGCTTTTTTACTTCTGTCTAATGCTACTGTGAATAGAATAAGGATGCTCACAATATAATATCATATTGACTATACTTTTTAACCGACTTAAAAAAAAGGAGGAGGTTCCCAATTAGACCAAAAAAAGAATCTCAATTCGAGTCAAAAAAGTATGAGAATTGATGATTCGTTAATGGTTCCAAATTCAAATTATTGTTTTTTTATAGTTGTTAGATTGGCACAACTGTTTTCCATTTTGGCGCGGAGTTTGAGTTGCATCTGTTATCTAAATTAAATACAGTGCTGATTTTAGTAATATCTTAAATAGTGTGTATTCCGATTCCGAATTTCATAATGGACAAAAAAATTCGAACAACGAGTTTGTCTTAAATTTTGCATTGCCCCAGTGGAATTTCGTGTTCGGAGTGAAAATGTTACAGAAGGCTTACGGTGTATCAACTTTATCAAAAACTTGTGCTTATGAGAGGTTCAAAGCGTTCAAAAGCGGTTGAGATGTGATGAAAGATTTGCCTCGCTCTGGTAGGCCATCAACGTCTGCAAATGAAGTGCAAAAGTGTCGCAAAAGTGAAGAAAATAGTGATTGAAAATCCCCATTTAACTCTGAGAAAGATAGCCGCCGAACTTTCTGTATTTCACGAGTCGATCCGTACCATTTTAACTGATCATTTGGGTATGAAACATGTTGCTGCTCGGCTAGTCCCAAAAGATCTGAATTTTCTCCAAAAATTCAATCGCATGAAAGTCGCTGAGGACATGCTAGAACGAGTCAGTTCGGACCCAACATTCATGAGACGCATTGTTACTGGTGACGAGACGTAGGTTTGCGAGTTTGACATGCAAACTAGTCAACAAGCTTCGGAGTGGCGCCTTCCAACTGAACCGAAACCGAAAAAACCACGCCGAAGTCGATCAAAAGTCAAAGTCATGCTGACTGTTTTCTTTGAATATCGCAATGTTGTGCACACTGAATTCTTACCGGAAGGTCTAACGGTAAATAGAGAATATTATTTGAGCGTTTTGTGGCGTTTAAGAGAGCAAATTCGACGAAACAGGCCAGATTTGTGGAAAGAAAATTCTTAGATTTTGCACCACGACACGCGCCTTCGCACAAGGCTATCATTGTGAACGAATTTTTGACCAAACACTCAACAAATACCATCCAGCCATCACCGTATTCAACAAATATGGCACCTGCTGACTTTTTTCTTTTTCCTAAACTCAAATTACAACTTCGTGGCAACCGTTTTCAATCGATAGAAGACATAAGGGAGAACTCGCGGCGAGAACTGAACTCAATTCCGGAAGCAGCGTTTAAAAAATGTTTTGATGAATGAGATTATTCGTTGGTGCAAGTGTATCGTTTCTCAAGGAGCATACTTTGAAAGTGATAAAATAAATTTGGATGAATAACAGACAGAATCCCGGTACTTTCTTGACAGAGTAATATAATATGCTTTTTATGTTTGTTCGCCGATATTTCCGTTATTTATAAGCTGATTTTGATAAGTTTTTGGAACATAGATAGTCCCAGAATGGTTTTATGATAAGAAAATCAGGATCTGATGGTGGAAGACCAGAGATATCGAAGGTACCTTACGAAAATTGTAGGGGCGAGTAATGCATCTATTATGTTTTTCAATAAGGATTTTTAAATAATTAAAAACCAACTGTTATTATAACTGTTACTCTTTATTCTGCCTACCCACTGATAGCTTAAAAGTCGGTGCCACAAGCCTGTTACAAAATGTATTTTCACCCGACTTCAAAAAAAAGGAGGAGGTTGTCAATTAGACCGTATTTTTACCGACTTAAAAAGGAGGAGGTACTACCTCTATGTTCGGCTGATTTTTTTTGTTTGTTCGCGCATTACTCCGCCATTGGTGAACCGACTTTCAAAATTCTTATTTTGTTTTAAAGGGTATACTCCCGAGATATTCCCATTTCCATGAGGTTTTTTTTTTATTATTTTTTAAGGGGGGAGAATCATCGAACGACTGCTCCCACCTGGGTGAGGCAAAAGGGAGTGTCAGACTCTTACTGACTAAAAACCACCCCGTTCCTTCTCCTGCACTTCGAGCCGGAGCCCCGGTGACCCGTTAGGTTAGGTTAGGATCTGATGATGGAATACCGCGGGGAACTTTCGAAAATTGAAGAAGCGAGTAGTGTGTTTATTATATTTTCCAATTAGTATTTTTAAATACTACAATTTGATAAGGGTCCTGATGATGGAGCCGAAAGACAGTCGAGGGAACTCCTCAACGGTTTATATTAACCGTCTTGTGCTTTGGCTTGATTGATTTGTATTGATGAGAACTTTATACCTAGATGGAGTGGGACTATCATTGATGGTCTGTTAAAGAAGAAGTGTAATTGTTAAGGGAACTCCTCAACGGTACACAGTAATTACTTTGTGTTTGGGCTTGATCAATTTGTATTGATGAGAACTTTACACTTAGACAGAGTGGGACTGCCATTAAGTGACTGATGATGAAGACGTGTTATTGTTAAGGGAACCCTTCAATAGTATGCAATAACTACCTTGTGTTTTGGCTTGATTGATTTGTATTGATGAGAACTTTATACCTAGATGGAGTGGGGCTATCATTGAGGGTCTGATAAAGAAGAAGTGTAATTGTTGAGGGAACTCTTCAACGGTTTACAGTAACTACCTTGTGTTTGGGCTTGTATAATTTGTACTGATTAAAACTTTACACCTAGACAGAGTGGGACTGCCATTAATGGACTGACGATGAAGACGTTTATTATTAAGAACAAACAAAAAGTTAAAACTAAAAGCAAAAATAACTATTATTAGAAGTGATAGGTTACGCACTCACTGATATGTTAGACGTCGGTGCCATAAGCTCCTATCAAAATGATTTAGCTTATGGTCAAAACTTGTAAACAGCTTAATATTAGGTATTCATTAATGTTTTAAATAATAATTTTGTTTAGAAGTTATTACTGATAGGTTAGAAGCTCCGAACCTATTAGTACCAATAATAGTTAAATTTTCCTGTTTAGTTTTTACTTTTTGTTTGTTAATAGTTTTGAGTTTTAAGATAACGGTATTTTAAACGCAGTTTTCATTTTTAAAGTATCGATATGCACGACCGATTTAACGCTTAAATGTCATGCCACAACTATTAAACACCGCTCCGACACGGCTCAAGCACGTCTCCGGCACGACTCGAACACGGTTCCGACACGGCGTTTTTTGCTTTGGAAACAACGCAAAATTACATGATTTTTATATTGACGTTATGAAATATGTCATATGGCATACGATTTAAAGTTAATATTTATATGGCAATGACATTGCTGGGTTGGAGCCGTGCCGAAGCCGTGCTTGTTAGGTGAGCGATGCGATGACCTTAAGCCAGTAATTTTTAATAAAAGGATATAAAAATGTCTTACTCTCTGTCCTGTTGTTCATTTTCACATTTAAACGCTTCCAACGGATATCTGTATTCTGGAAATCTAGCAACTGGCCATTCAAAACTTGGGAAGTCCAGTTTATGAATAGCTTTCGACCTCGTAGTCGCCAATGATCCTAATGTACGTCCATGGAAAGCTCCATTATTATACAGACCCTGGAAATGACAAAACTCTCGAAGTAAAAGCTTAAAATACAACGACAAGGACGTACATGAAAAGAGAAATTCTGTGTATTCGAATGTACTTCTTTAGCCTTTAGATATCCTTTATCCTTTTTTTATGTGAACTATTTTTTTCAAATCATAAATTTTACGTTGTGAATTTGTTATAAACGTTATATTACCTACCTTAGTATGTTTTTGTCAAACGCAGAAGGAATAAGAGAAAAGAGGTATACATTTTTTCTATGTATGTAGACCGATTACGTCGAGGTTTATGAACTAATTTGTGTGATTCTTTTTGTTTGACGCAGATTAGCTGATATTTTGTCTTATAAAAATTTGTTTCATATTGGTTCAGCAGTTTTTATTTTATAACCATTATAAGTATGTGAAAGATATCATTTTCACGATACTTCGTAGATTTGTACATCGATTACTTAAACATTTCTGATCCGAATAGCGTGATACTTTTTTTGTTCGTTTAGATATACTTTTAAGTTGATGCGGACGCCACATACTGATCACCTGAGCTCTCATCGCCTGATGAGATCCCACAGAAATCGTAAGCAATCCTCAAATTATAAGCATTTATTATGTTTATTCTGATAATTTCATAAAGCCATCCAGCTATTTATGTCTGATGATCATCATTTCATGTCCATGAGATGATGATGGAAGGTACAACTCCTCAATGGTTAGGAGTTCAAATAAAATTCTTTCAAAAGTATTCCTACATATGGATCGAGAATAATATTATTTGAGGCTATTTGGTAGACCTGATTATAGGAGACAAATCTGGTGATATGGTCAATTTCACTTATGTTTTCACTATTTACCAACACTTATTAAATAAACATCATAAAATAAAAATGAAATTGCGTTTAAAAAACCGACTTCAAAACCATAAACTAAAAACAGAAAAATAACTATTATTTTTTATTCTGCCTACCCACTGATTGCTTAAAAGTCGTTACGTAACAAAATATATTTTCAACCGACTTTAAAAAAAAGGAGAAGGTTCTCAATTCGAGTGCATTTTTTTGAGGATTGTTAGGAATTCAGGGATTGGGGAGACTGGGGAAGGGGGAGGAGGTAATTGGGGTTCCAGTAACCTCACTCACACGAGGAAACACAACGCAAACGTTGTTTCACGTCGATTTTCTGTGGTACCACTCCGGTCGACCCGGCCCATTCGTGCGGAAGCACGACTTTCCCACATTTGTGACCACACTGTAACATTGTTTTCCCATATTAATCTGATGGGTCTCAGTTATCTGAATAAATAAACTATTATATTATATACTTTTATCCCCGAAAGGGTAGGCAGAGGTGCACATTACGGCACTTAATGCCACTGTACAATATAACACCCAATTTTCACTATTTACCTATGTTATGAGTCCCATGTAATACGGGGTGAGCCTAGTGCCAATATAAATTTTATTAACCTATATTCTATCATAATAAAATATCCAAAATAATTGAGACTTGAACAAAATTTTATTGTACCATTGCTCATTTAAATTTTATATCTGATAGCCTACCTACTCGTTGCGATACGTATTGAATTAAATTTGTTTTGAATTACCAATTAGCTTTTAGATAAACTTTTAAAATAATTTGAAATTTATTCAACTTTAGGATTTATCTTCAGCAACTTTCACGAAATAATTATATTTATTTTAAGGAAACGATACTAACCTTGAATGACATAATTGATAAATCTGGAGCTCCTGGGGGAATATTTAGAAGTGCTGTTTGTATTTCTTCGTCCGTAAATGTTGTTTTGCCACCACGTTTTCTTGTACAATATAATATGAAAGCAGCTTTGAACGCATTTTCATTAGAGCAAGCCCCACACATCATGGTCATGACGTGTTTCAAGCCTGGTGGTGCGACTGCCAACAGAACATTTCGCAATTTTTTAGGCCAGTCGTCTGAAGGAAATACTCCAAGAGCAGGACGATTTACCAAAGCTCTCTGAAAAATGTATTTATGAAATTAATAAATCTGTTTTACGTAAGTTCTTATTTGATTTTCAAGCACTTCTTATAATCGTTTAGGTATTTTAAAGAAACGGAACATTTTTTATTGAGAAATACTTAATTCCATATACCATGTGAAATTAGATATCTATATTTTGCATATTACTAACCACTTCCCTATCACACCGGAATGCATTTAGAAGCGCCGGATGATTGTACCCAAGAGGTATAGAAGATATCTGCGTGTAAACATCCAAAAAGAGATTGCCATCTACGTCCGCAAAGTAATTGCCAGCAGATTTTTCAAGATTCCCAAAGAGTTGCACTGATCCACATTGCTGAAACAATAAAATGTATGTTTAGAATGAATGTATCCAGCCAAAATCTGTGATATATACGTAAAATACCCATCAAAAAGAAAATAATTATATTGAATAAAACCTATCGTGTCTAACGGGTAACCGGGGCTCCGGCTCGACGTGCAGGAGAATAGTACGAGAGATGACGACCAAAACCATGTCTCATAGCAATACGGCAAAAACCCCATAAAATCGTTAGATTGTATGATTCTGAATCCGACTAGGTGTGTAGTAACGGTCGAAAGTGTAGCAACTGCGTGGGAGGCCATTTCTGCTGTGTCAAAAAAAAGACAGTCCGTATTATAGCAATACGCCTGATAGTAAAAATGTACATAGATTTTATAATTGTATTACGAAAAAAATTGTTTTCAGACATTTTTCGCGTAGCATATAGCCTGAGTGCATTTTTGAAAATGTCAATAAATTTAGCCGACCTGTATCATAGCAATACGGAATTTTTTGTTTTTTCAACTTTTCGTATTGCTGCCATGATTACCATAAACCTGTTTTTAGACACTTTAAGTGTAGCATATACTCCCAAAAACGAAAATAACGTTTCGGAGTCGCCTGGCCGACGCCTCTGTTAAATGTTTTTTTAAATTTACAGCCTTCATAGATATTCAAGAATCTCCCTTGTCTATTATATGTACTTTGACAGATGACAGATGTCATTACTTATTTCTTTTGTAAAAGTTACTCAAGTGTGCTTTAAATAAAACCAAAACTATCAAATCAATCAGTATTTAATTTCAACAGCCTCAGCGCTTGGAGCGTAAGCTCCTGCCCCTTTCTTACAGCTCACTCGCCAGCTGCTCCAAACGTTGGAACGACGCTCACTTAGTTGTCATACGTTGTGCGGTTGTGGTGGTGTAAAATGTCGGACAAAAATGGTGTAAATTTATCATCTAATAAATTCAGGGTCGCAACGTATTCATTGGTTTGTAACGTCAAGTGTCGAGTCAAGATGCCTCAATACGATTTTTAAATGATATCTGAGAATCGAAAAGTTGTCTGATAGAGAAGGTGCTACACTTATTTTGTCTGATATAATTTTTTTGCACATGTGGACAACTTATTTTATCATGACCAACAATTTTCAGACCTATTGCCATGATACCGATCGCTAAAATTTGTTAACATTTTCAAAACGGTCTCAAAATTTAATGCGTTCACATTTCCGTCTGAAAATTGTTTTGCTCGCATCAAATAACCAAAATTTACTAATAAAAAGATTTTCAGACGTACTGCTGTGAGACATTTCTTTGTCTCATTTTTTATTTTTTTAAGTGATGTTACGGGTTTACGCTACACCACTGACGTCTGAAAAATATGTTTCCGGTATCTCAGAACTATCATTCAACTACAGTCTGTAAATCAGACATATTGCTATGATGCAGGTCGGTAAAATGCTTTGACAATTTTCAAAAATTCGGTCAGATCAAACGCTACGCGGAAAATGTGTATTTTCGAGTTCAGGATAATCGTATCTATCGATTTGATGCGGTTTTGGCCGTATTGCTATGAGACAAAAATTTTGGTCGTCATCTCTCGTACTAGAAGGAACGGGGTGGTTTTTAGTCAGTAAGAGTCTGACACTCCCTCCCGCCTCCCCTAGGCGGGAGGAGTAATTCGATGATTTTCGCCCCTTAAAAAAATCGTTTAATGTAAATTTAATTAAAAATATATTTTAACTTATAATATGCATTAGGCAATGTTTTGTGAGCACTTTTGCCTAACACTTCGGGAAATTAAAAAATTGATGAGGCGTTACTTCATATCTTGAGTAGTGGAAGTTTTTCTGTCACATGGACAACTAGTGTAACTTTTTTTCGCGAAAATCATTTTAAATTGATATTTTTTTAAATTAAATATGTTATGTATTCTTTTACTGAGTGAAAGTATGATGATAAGAAAGGCCCACTCTTGTACAGTCCAAAAACAAAAAAATTACATTGGTACCTTCGATATTTTTTTGTTTGTGATCGGTTCTTTGACCGAACCAATTGGAATCGAACCCACGTTCCTAGATCAAAAAGTTATAGAATTACCTCCTTTATGTCCCTGTTCAGTTTCTATTTCATTTTTCCCCGCCCAATCAGAAACAGAAACCTGTCGAAACTTTCGTGTCCGGTAAGTACCTGCGTTAGGCTGCGTTTCCACTGACGCGGAGCTGGGCAGAGAGGAGCGGTGACAAGCAGTGATAAGTGGTCAGTGTTTCCACTGAAGCGGAGCGGACTGAAAAGGAGCATAACGAAGCCTACTATTTTTGGAATCGTGCATTTTTGAGCTTAGTTACAATCAATCTTTCAGAAACAAAAAACGTCATGTTGTCGTTTAAAAAGAAAAAAAGCTATCATAATCAAAACGAATCAGATGCCGTAGCATTGACTGTTGCCCCACTGTCCTCCGCACAGCACTTGGCCCACTGTATTTTTATTATGAATATCCGCTCCGCCCCGCTCCGCATCAGTAGAAACGCAGCCTTAAGCGGTAGGTGAGGACGCTGTCGCGTCCCTCAAGCCACTTCTCAAAGAGGGGACTTACCGCTGTAATGACAGCGAGCCCACTCTCGGTTTCCCGAGAATTCCATCATCAGATCCTGATTTAGTAAAAATGTGACCCATTTATCGCTTTCAAAACCTTTAATAAATTTATATTAATAATTAAAAAAATAAACATTATTCACATTGACTCGCGGGCGCAGTCACGAGGGTGGTTGGTTACTATCAAAAATATCATATGACATTCAAGTGTTTACGTACGAAACGGAAGTTGCGGGAAACCTACGAATTGGCACTGGTGGCCAGCTTGCAGTTATTTATCACCTAAAGATGTCTGTGTGTCTTCATGTCGAACTAGCGGGTGGGCGGGCAATTCACTTACGCCACCCGTCGTCGCGTAGTCAGGTAAATTCAAGAACTTATCACTCGTTCAAATGCCTGGCGATCAACGTGGGCACATTGTGTTCAACACAAGCTCGTGACGTCCACGACTCCCGCACCCGCTACCGCTACTGCACCCGCGCCCGCGCGTTCCTACGTGAAAAAGGCACTTCTTGACTATCCTTTCCTAATATGTACCTATTATATAAATATGTTCATTCACATACTTGAATATCCATCATTTCTTTGAAAAGTTCTTTTGATTTTGGACCCGGAATTTCCGTTTTTATCAGAGGACCTGGCGGCTCCTGGTGCACCGTAGAATATGAAGTCCCATAGTTCCGACATTCTGTTGAAGAAAAAAGTTTAAGCTGCAAATCTAAACATCGCCGTACGCAAATATTTCTTAGTTCTTAGTTGGACCATGGACAAGGATTCTAATCCTGTGATCTGTTTGCGGATGGATAGAAGGAGATTTTATCGGAATGCCTGCAGGAGGAATGAATTTTTCGCGGAAAAATAATTGAAGCGGCTCAAGAAATAAGACCTACTACCTACCTAAGACATTAAGCTCAAGAGAGGTTTTCACAGGGATACGAGTAACGCTTCCTTATCTCTGGGAAAGTGTCTTGTGTTAGCATGCGTTCATCGTAGGGGAGGTTACTTTGAACAAGAATTTGTAAATAAAGAGTTACTTAAAACTGCAATATTTTCTTAACAATTTACTTTATCATCATGCTATTAATATTGTTCGGTAGCTAATATAATAAGAAAGTTATGCAAACAATTTGTACGCTTCATGTACGGTCGAATTTTTTAAAGATATCCAGTTTTCTATTGACTAACTTACATTTCCTAAATTGAAACAAATACTCGAGTAAAAACGGATAAATACATTTTGAGTAGATATATATTAAAAAATCGCCCATCTATTGTCATGCCGTTACAGTGTGACACAATCTCTAATTGAGAACGCCCCGAGTTCAATTAACGAGTAGGTAAGTTACAATTTCGTGAAGCTCTTAAATATTTACTAGAAAACTGGAATTATAGTCATACTAGCTTCTGCCCGCGACTTCGTACGCGCAATCCCGCTTTCTCCCGTTCCCGTAGAATTCCAGTAGGATTTTTTTGTCATAAGAACATTTTCCTAACAATAACAAACACAACAAACAATCAGTCAAATCGGTCAAGCCGTTTGCAAGTTATAGCGTGACAACGGGAAACTGGTTTCATTTTTATTATATATATAATATAATAATATATAATATGAATATAATATGTATTATGTCAAATAAAGGAACCTGTACCTCGCACGACAAAAACTTTTTAATTTGACATAGGTAAATAGTTACATGAACATCCCATCCCGCTTGTGCAAAAAATAGCATTAATACTTAATAGATTAAACAGCATACCTTTTGCAACAAGAGCCGGTAGATATGTCCTGTTCCTTATGATGTCGCGTCGCAGCATCTTGGAAGAAATAACTCTGTAACTGCAAAATTTGTCCCGTTCGCAATACTATATAATAATCTCAAAAATGTCATACTACGGCGAGGACGATGTTTGTTTTAATGGCGTGGCTTCTAAATAAAAATTCTGTGATCATTTGTAAAAGTTGATTCCCAAGACCATACATTTTGGGCTCGCTGCCATTGCAGCGATAAGTCTCCTCTTTGAGGAGTGGCTTGAGAGACGCTACTCACCTACCGCCTGACGCAGGTCCTCACCGGACATGAAAGTTTCGGGTGGTACCTGTGTCTGATGGGGCGGGAGGAAACGCCCGGGTGTGATCACTGCGAGGACCACCCTGAGGACACGGTGGAACACACTGTAGCGGAATGCGCTGCGTGGGCTGAGCACCGCCGTGCCCTCAGGGAAGTGATCGGCGATGGCGACTCGCGTCCGGGCCTAGTGCTGGTCATGATGCGGAGCGAGGCACTGGGATGCCGTCTCCCTTTTTGCGAAGCAGTCATGCTAGCTAAGGAGGAGGCGGGACGCGTGAGGCAGCGAAGCGCTGCCTCCTCGCAACCCAGCAATCGCGAAGGACACACCGGGCGTTGGCGATCGCGGGACGATCTCCGGCCACCGTAAATGCGGGCCTGCGGACGGCGAGCATGGGTGGCTCCCCGTCCGACCACCGACCAGAAACAGACCCGAGCATACGGCGCGTCGCGTTCCGCGCGCGCCTCAAAGAGCCATCAGACCACAGCAGGGCCGATGCCGATTCGGAGTCGCGGAGAACCTAACGGGTAAGGTTCTCGATAAGGTATTTTTTCAAATTGACACCTGGGCAGCATCTGATAATAAGATCCCAGGGATATAGAGAGCTCTCTGGCCACCGTAAACACAGGTCTGTGGACAGCGAGCACGGGTACCTCGCCGTCCGACCAGAAACAGACCCAAACGTACAGAGCGTCGCGTTCCGCACGCGCCTCAAGGAGCCATCAGACCACCTCAGATGGGACCCAATAGAGCTGATGCCGATACGGAGCCGCGGAGGGCATAAGGTTCTAGTCAGCAAGAGTCTGACACCGCCTCTCGTCTCACCCGGGCGGTAGAAGTAATTGGATGATTTCCCCCCCTCAAAAAAATGGGGTATAGAGGACATCCTGTATCCACAATATATTTAACTGGCAATGTAACTTTCAATGTATGTACACAAAACACCGCTAATTAGTTAGCGGCGCCACACATCGACACTACTATCTTTTACACAGTGAACATGTGTGGGTAATTTCATATTACTGTGTATAAAAATATTCGTCCACCACATTCACATTGGTATTTTCATTCTTGTGTCGGTATACGTATTTTTATAATTTAATGCATGGGTAAGGTTAAAACTATTTACAATCATTGATATGACCCGACATTTTCACTGTAATTATCGTAGTGCTCGTGGTCGATTGGTTAATGAGTACGCTTTTATCGTCTTTCAAGGATCAATGATGATGTGGGTTCTATTCCAGCTAAAAGTTTTTTTTTATTTTACCTTGTTGTTTTTCTTATTTATTTTTTTTTTGTTTTTTGTCATATAATATAAATATCAGGCTATAAAAGAAGCAAATCAGTCGGTAAATAAAACAATACTATTTTTTATTAAAATTAATTTATTAATTATACAAATATGTGGTTTTATATTCAATATTTATATCTAATAATTAATTATATACCACATGTTAACTTTAAAGTTCTTCCAATCATTCTAAATTATTCTAAATAATAAATAACTAGAACTAAAATATAAATAAAGGATATTATAGGTATAAATAAATCTAAAGTATTTACTATTAAAATTAACATAAGATTTAGAAAAATAGGATAGGAAAAAAAGAAAAGATTTAATTGTTTCTAATTTCACATTTCAAATATTTGATTAATTAATACTAAAACAACATGTGAATGCTGGAATCGATCCGGTGGCACTTTACTTGACCACTGGAGGCGATAACCATTGCGCCAAGCGCGCCGTAGATGAGAACATCGAAATATTGTATATCATTCAGTAACATAAAAATACAATGAGAATGCACTATATTTATATAAGTATTGTATTGCTCGATCGTTCATTATTTTTGATTTCGATTTATTCAAAGTTTGTTATGAGTATTTTTATCTTTACCCTCGTTTTTATTTAAACTTATTTACTAAAATATTACGTATACCGACACAAAAATGATATGTAATACCAAGATGTGTGTGATAGAACGAATGTTTCTATACATATCTATTAATATGAAATTACCCACACATGTTCACTGTGTAAATGATAGTAATGTCGATGTGTAGCGCCTCGAACTAATTAGCGGTGCTTTGTGTACATA